ACTCTATTTAGGTTATTCAAGTCATCGAAATTATATATATAATAATCATAAAAATTAATTTTTGAGATTTATTAGATTTGGAGAGATATTAAAAGGGCATATGAAGAGTACCAAAGAGTATAATGGGGAGTTGCTATCAATCAATTTCAAAAACCTAATTTTCTTCCCTCTTTTTCTACCCACAATATTATCATTTTCTTTTATACATATATTTTAATTCATTTATTTTCAACCATTTAATTTTAAAAGAAATAAAAAATAAAAAATATTTATTATTATGACAAATTACTCGACCGATCTTAAGGCTTGACATGGCTTCTAATCAGCATAACACCTTAAGTCTCACGTCATATTCATACCGAGCATATTATACTTTATCATTTCTTTGTCAAATTGCGTAAAAAAATTGATAATTAAAAAAACGACAAAAAAAAAATCTGATCGATCTGAATTTATTCAAAAAATAATAATAACTAGAATTACTTGAATTAAAAAACAATTGAATTAATTTAATTATATATATATATATATATATATATATATATATATATTTTTTTTTTTTACTATGGTAATTGTTGGGTGTGGACGTGAATTAGGTGTTGAAGGGTCCAATGGTGGGCTACAAATCAAAGGACAAATCAACATCCCAATGGCTTTATTTTTCTTTTTTGTAAAGTTGAGGACATAATATCGGCAAATTTCCATTACTACCCCTCACTTTTTTTTTTCTTTTTTTTTTTCTAATAATTAAAATAAAATAAAATATATAAAATTAATTATATTTTCTACCTTTGAAAATTCCCCTCCCCCAATTTCAACTTAAAATACCAATGACTCTCCTCCGACGCTTTAAACCATAAATATCAGATTTTTCCTTTTATTATTATTATTATTATTATTATTATTATTATTATTATTATTATTATTATTATTTGGGTATCACCAAATATACATTAAAATATTCTAAAAAGAAAGATTTAAATATAATCTTCGCATTAAGGGCTTTGCCAAGCATAAGCCCAATAGTAATTGGGCCCCTGGCCCAATTTCTCCACCAGTTAAATGAACTCAGCATGTGCTTATTTTAAAATCTTGAAATATTAATAAATTATTAAATTTGGGACTTATTATTAATTAAAATTTATCTCAAATTTGATTCGAAAATTATATATATATATATATATATATATATAAGCGTTGTCCCTACTGGAAGAAAGGCCAAGAAAATCGTCCAAAAAGTCATCTTAAATACAAAGTGGTAACCTTATCGATACCACCATTTTTCTGCTGGAGAAATTTTAAAATTATTTTGAGACAAATTTCAATATTTTTAATATTTTTATTAATTTAACAGAAAAAGAATTAAAATAACAGATCAATAATGGATCTGAAAATTATAATTTTTTAATATTAAATCTAAAAAAACTATTTTTACATTTTCTTTTTAAAAATTAAAAACTAAAAGCTAAATAGGCAACTTAAAATTTGAGAATATTTTTTAAATTTTATTAGAATAGTCAAAAGATAAACTCAAATTCAGAATTACTTTTTAAATCGAGAAAAGAAAATGCATTAGACGAAACATGTTGCAATCCCACTCGCGTTTTACGCGCGTGAAGCTCACCCTCGGCCACCACTTCTGCGTTTCACAGTGAACAACGGAAGTCCGGATTCCGAACTAACCAGAAAAAACGATGAGCTTCATCAATTCATCCGACAACTTTCCGAATCCATCATCAATCCGCTGTACGATTTCTTGGATTTCTTCTCCTTGTGTATCGGAAACCGTTTTATTTTTTTTTCTCGTTCCTGTGATCGTCAAGCTTAAACCCTACGTTTTGTTGTTTTGGATTTCTGTTCTACATCCTTCAGCTTCATCGATCGTGCATTAAGCTTGTAAGAACTCATGATTTTTATGGAATTTTTTCTAGTATCATTTGGTATCCTTCTCTTTTGACAGTATCGGCGTTTTGTTATTGTAGCAGATTACATGTATGGCTTCAGTGCTGCGAGGTGGTGGTGAACCGGGAGGGAATCCCAGGAGGACGGATAATAACAAGTTTAGTACCGGAAACCAACGGAAAGAGAGTAAAATCCCCAAAAGTGCTCGAAATTCCGTACAGATTCCTGCCATCGCGGCCGCCAATGGCGGTGGTGATCCGTCTTCTCCTTCTCATTATCCGATCGATGCTTTAGTCACGTCTAGGGATTCTTCAGGTCAAAATCGCTACATCGAACAGGTTAATGCTGATGAAGTGCCGGGATATACGCGGTTTGAGAACCGGGTTAGGATTTGCTTGAATTCCAGATCAAGATCTGAGATTAAAGAGCTTACGACGAAGCTTAAGGGCGAGCTCGGTCACGTCAGGAGCCTCGTGAAGAAATTTGAATCTCAAGAACTGCAGATCAGTGGTTATGGTGGTGATGTTGGACATAGTCAGTCGCAGTTTTCTGCTAATAATTTGGTAGAGAAGGTTGGTAACACATGGAAGAATGATTCTGTGGTGGGTTCCGCCGATGTGCCCGCTTCTCGACTTGTTCAAAGCGTTTCGGTGGCCGAAAACTTCGGGGAGTTTGCAGAGAAAGAGATGAACAAGCATAAAAATTCAAGATATAATCCTAAGACGGAGTTCCCGGTATCGGATTGCGATTCGAATAGAGGTAAGATTGATCCATTGCTTAAAAGCTGTAACAATTTGCTGGAAAGATTGATGAAACATAAACATGGTTGGGTGTTTAATGTGCCTGTTGATGCCAAGCGTTTGGGGCTTCATGATTATCACAAGATCATAACGAAGCCAATGGACTTAGGTACTGTAAAGATGAGATTAAACAAGAACTGGTACAAGTCACCAAGAGAGTTTGCTGAGGATGTGAGACTCACATTTAGTAATGCCATTACATATAACCCGAAAGGGGAGGACGTTCATATAATGGCTGAGCAGTTATCGAACGTATTCGAAGAGAAATGGAGGATTATTGAAGCCAAACAAGATGTTGGTAAGGATGATGGATCCAGAAAATCTCCAGCTCTTGCCACACCGCCAGTGGAATCAAGAACTTTCAGTAAATCGAAGTCTACGACGAAGCCTCCGCCTGCAAATAGGGAGAGTTTAGGTAAGTCGGATTCGATAACAAAGCCTGCAAACGTTCCTGATAAGAAACCAAATGCTAAGAATCATGGAAACAGAGATATGAATTATGAAGAAAAGCAGAAACTGAGCATTGATCTTCAGGATTTACCATCAGATGAGCTGAATAATGTTGTGAAGATCATTAAAAAGAGGAACCAGGGACTCTTCCAAAACGATGATGAAATTGAGTTGGATATTGGTAGTGTTGACTCCAAAACCCTCTGGGAACTCGAGAGGTTTGTGGCTGATTACAAAAACAGCTTGATCACGAACAAGAGAAAAGTCGACGCCGATCTTCAATCATCGCGCTACTCGACCAAGGATATGGTAAGATTTGAATCAATCTGCTACAGTTTCAAGTTCCTTTCTTAGGGTGAAACAAACTATATTGTAACGATGCAGGATCGAGCTGTGGATGATGCAGGAGGAGGACCTGTAGGCGGCAATGCAGGTAAAATTGTTGAAATCTTTGGTGAATGCTTCAGTCTATAACTTTTGGTAACTTAGAAATGGAATGTTATAAAAGCATGTTTCCACCATTGAAGCAACCTCTTGATACCTAGCAGTAGCAGTAACTTGGAGATGTTAATGGTTATATGATCTATGTTTCTACAGACTCTGAAGGTGAGGGCGACAGTTCCTCGACGTGTGGAGATGCGAATCAGTCTCCCTAGGGTTGAATCGACTAAAACAAGGTACGAGTTCAAAGTCTAGTACTGAATGTTCTTGTTGGCTTGGAAGCATCACATATGAAAAAAAGATTTGACTACCATTTGGTGTGATATTGATGAACATGGGAAGTTTGTGTTATCCTCCTCTCGATAGCTTCGTCTGTTGATATTTAAAAACTCGGAGACCGAAATTGAGAAGGCTGGAAAAGTCTAGGAATTCGGCAATTGTTTTCAGGAGCGTCTTCATCTTTCCCAATTTTACGATAAGCAAGTTGAAACTTGGAAGTTGATTGTTCTATTATCCTGAAGTAATCCTATCTGAATAATCATATAATTTGATCAGAATCTCCAAACCAATTTTCATTTATGTTTCCCATTGATGCTCAAGTAACAAGTCGAATTCGTTCCTCTGCAACAGGATCGTATGGTTTGGTTGCATCACGGAGCAATCTCCATCTCCCATGGTGATTTGGAGGGAAGAGATCAAAAGTTGTATTGATAAATTCAGATGATATTCATGATTCCTTGGCATTTTATGAAATCAGAAATTTCCCAATTTCTTATTTTGATAATTGTATATTTTTGTGTAATAGAACTTAGAAGGTAGCATAAGTTAATTTCTTTCTAGGATGGATTGATTGATCTTTCCATTTTCTATAGCAGCTGTATATACTAAAGGATCTACTTTGGAATATGAATTTAATCTTTTCTTTGTCAGCAATGAACTGTTCTTAGTGTTTTATTATGAAAATGTAACCAAATTACTACATTAAATCATAGTTCACTATCTCTTTGAATCCTAACAATCATTGTAGGTTCCTACCGAAACTTTTTAACTTCACCCTGACCGAACATGGTCTGTTCATCATCTTTCGCCCATACTTGATCTATAATTCACATTTTCACCATAATCCCTGAACTTAAGTTTATTCTATGCTTAATCCTTACACTTATGAAATGTTTCTTTTTAGTAGGGCCTTACTCATCTAAAAAGGTTGCTTTTAGGACGTGTATATGTTACATCATGAATATGATCCTCCATTTTACGAGAGAATGAGTTCAAATCATGGTAGCCACCGGCTTAAAATTTAGCAATCCTATGAGTTACTTTAGCAACCAAATACGCTAAGACCACATATTGAACAATAATCCACACAACCCAATCCAACCCAACCCAACCAATCAAGCACTGTTCCAGTCCAAATGGTTGGATGATTCTTCATATTAAAGATCGAAGATTCAAATAGAGATCCCTCAAAAATATGCCACCGGGAATTATTGATAAAACTTATACGAGGGAAGTGAACTACTCTAACAAAAAAAGTAAAGCCGGTTGCTCGTAAGCAGCATCATCAGTTACAGTTGGGTGGGAAAAGAAAAAATGGATGAGTTTTATGGTAACGTGGGCAAGAGATACCTGTCCGGATTGTAAATAATACAACCACATTCTAACTTTTGTTGGCAAACTGGATTCCCTTCTCAATTGAAGCTTTGAGCTCGGGCTTCAGCTTTTCCAAACCTTCTTTCTCGAAGTCTGAGAGATGGCCCAAACCCAAAACTGACTCTACTCCGTTCTTTCCAAGCTTCACCTGTTTATATAAAGGAAAATCAAAGTGAACAATAATTCATGCAGTCCAAAGATCTGGACTCTAATGAGTTTCAACAACTCAAACAATATGCTATAAGGAAAAAGCAGTCCAAACAGAACATAACCAATTACCTTTGAAGCAAAGAATGGAAGTTCAGTGACAGTTGATTGCACAAACGAGCATTCCACAACATCTGGAACCCCATTCAGTCCCTTGAGACAAGCATCTGCAAAAAGGGCACCAGCATAGCTGCCAGAAGCAGTAAAAATGTTAAAATTTTACTTGCATTATTGACATGGCAAGGAAAATAAGAACAGAGAATGATGAAAGAACCCTCGGCTGTTGAGGCAATCAACTTCTGATAAATAATTCAGCAGCAAGTAAAAAGTCTTACGCCATTGATAATGTAGCAGAACCCTTGCCGGCCTTTGCTTCCACAACTTCCGTTCCTCCATCTTGAGTTCGCTTGGTGAGAGCAACAATAGTCTCATCTGACAAATTTGCTTTCGGGGTAGCCTGTGACAATCAGATGCACCGTATAAAGTCTATAACCCCTCAAATTCAAAGCATTCGATGCAATCCCGACACAGGAACTGGGTTTTACATCTAGCATATTTGTAAAAAGAAGGGAAGTACCTGAGAAAATAGTGGAAGAATGGTGATGCCCGCATGGCCACCAATAACAGGCACATTAACCTCTGCAAGCGTATTACAATAGTCAGGCAATAAAATTTGACCTTTCATCATTGTAAATTGATTTTAACGGAGAAATTTCAAGCATAAAATTTTAGCAAGGAATTATACCAGCTACTGGAGCATTTGCTTTCCCAGCATAAAAGGTTTTGGCCCTGACAACATCAAGAGTAGTAACACCAAACAACTTCTTCTCATCATAAGTGCCAGCTTTCTTGAAAACCTCAGCAGCAATTGGGACAGTTGAGTTGACGGGGTTGCTGATCATGTTAACAAGTGCCTGCAAAGCCGTGTTTTGGTTACAAAATGAAGTCAAAATAACAAAATTAAAGAATTTGCATCTCAGTATAAGAGTGGTGGGTACTGACATTGGGGCAGTACTTAGCAATGGCAGTGCAAAGTGATTTAACAATGCCAGCATTGATGTTGAAGAGATCATCACGGGTCATGCCGGGCTTTCTTGGAACTCCAGCAGGAATGATGACAACATCAGATCCCTCCAAAGCTTTACCGAGTTGGTCCTCACCCACGTAGCCAGTAACCTGCACAGAAAAATCTTGTAGTGAACAATGATCTAACGACGAAATCAAGAGATGGGAAAAAAAAAAAAAAAATTAAAAGAGAGAGAGAGAGAGATGAAACAAATTAGCTCAAACCGTTGGACATGAACGAATAAGAACAAAACAGGAACTCCAAAAACATGCAGACACCCGAGTTATAAACTTACTTAAACTTTGAAGCAGAAAACAAGCAAATACATAGCCGAAAACAAAAAGCACAAAAATCGAAATCAACTGAATCAAAATCAGATCGATTGCAACTCAAACAGAGGCATCAACAAACCAAAAACACAACTATTTATAACCGTACAAGAAAAAAAAAAAGGGAGAAATGACAAGATTTACCTCGGATCTAGTGTTAACATGACCAACATCGGCGGCAACACCAGGAGTACCAGCAATATCGTAGAGAGCAAGCTGGGAGACAAGTGGATTAAGCTTCATGAGAAGCGCCAAGGGCTGTCCAATCCCACCGGCAGCACCAAGCACGGCCACTTTCCTTTCCGGCACTGATTCAGTCCCAAAGCTACGGGTCAAGAGGTGCTTCGACGAAGAGGACCTCGAGGCGACGGAATGAACAGATCTGAGAATTGAGGCCTTCATGATTCCACGTAGAAGAACAGCGCCGATACCAAGAAAACAACAGAGGAGAGGGTTTCGACGGAAATGAAGGGTTCTTCTTCAGATCATATCGAAGTGCTTTTGCCTTTATTCTCGAGGCCAAGGGCTCGATTGTAATTTTGATTTTTTGTTTTCCATGTAAAGATGGAAATTAAAAGAAATGGGTATATTTCATGTTCGCATGGTTCTTTTTCTTCTTTTTTCTCATATAATTTAAATACTCTTTAAATAGTAAATTGTTTTTATCTACAAAAATAAATCAAGTTTATTCAATACATTTAATTTAATATCTATGAAATTAATTAATTAATTTTTTTTTTTTTTTTTTGTATTTAGTTTCAATGTTTCTCAAAAATGAAAATAAGAAATTGAATTCTATTTTTTAAAAAAGAATTAGAAACCCCAAAATTTTCAGGTTTTTGTTTGTTTCGTACATAAACTTAAAAGGTATTTAATAAATTCTTAAATTATCAATTAATAAGTCTCATAAAATCTAAATTTATGTTTTTTTTTTTTTTACCTATTTAACATTTTTAAAATATATAAATAAAAAAAAAAGATATATCAATTTCTTTACAGATATAGACATAAATACACACCTTGAACAAGTATTTGAACCAAATTTAGTATTGAAAAGCTAGACAAAGCTCAAATAGGATTAAACTTTTTTCCTTTTGAACAACAAATATCTACAAATAAAGCCATTTTCTTTTTCATTATATTTTCAACATCCCATAAATTGCAAAAATATTACTAATGATTACGAACTTGAATATTAAACATTTGAAACCGAGTCATTTGGGAGACGAATAATCGTCAAGTACAAGAATCAAAATGGATATGAACTTACATAATTTCGAAGTTAAAAGGGAAAAGAATTAGGAGTACAGAAGTAAGGCAGGAGTCAAATGAATGGGCTTCAATAGTTCAATTGGTTGTATCTCAAGTCTTCTTGACCGATTTTAAGTCCTCCAAGCAGGGGCTCAGTGGGGGATGGTTTTGATGCCCATTTGCCATTTCATATACCACCATACACACACCAAAAACACAACAGAAAAATACAAAACAAAAGGCCATATGTTGTGTGTGGGAGACAAAAGCTGATGAAGATTTAGAAGCCAGATATTCAGATTTATTTAGGACAAAACACAGCTAATCTCTCTCACAAGTTGAAAACATTGAGAACCAACACCTCCACTTGTTACTAAAATCCATCTAACAAGTTCCCAAATTTGTGAACCAAACACAATCTCTAACAACTAAATATGAACTATATAACAAGTTCATCCCCCACAAAACACAACCCACAAAATGAAGGAAAACAAGTCAAGATTCGATTTCAACTCACAACCTCATTCCTTGCTTAAAAAGTGAATGAAAATTGCATGAGATCGAGAGGGAAATTAAGCAAGCAATGGGCTCCATGTAACACGCATACACAACCCACCATTCAACCAAGCCAATGACAACTACCGAACAGAAAACTAAGCAAGCAATTGGTTGTACAGAAAATGAGCTCAATCCATCACAGTGCACACATGTATTTGGTTGAAGCATCCACACAATTATGCAGTAAATCAACAATGAGATATAACGGAAAGTCACAGCTCAAAAACCCTTGAACCATTAAAGATGAGATACAAAAAGGGCTTCAAGTACCATACAAATCCAAGCTTGACAAAGTTTGTGCTGCCAACAACTTTCTTCAAAACAGATGCACACAGCAGAGCAGCAATAGAAGTGGATCCATACAGCATGGACAGATAAAGTAACAGAATCACAAAGAACAGAGAGTAGCGATGGAAGGAAATCAATTCAAACGCATGACAATAGTAAGAGAAGTGAAGTAGAAAGCACTTGATACCAACAACTGCAAAGGATTCAAAAGTTCCCAGCAGAAAAGCAACGACAAAGAAAATACAAGGTCTTTCAAGCAGGTTGACATACTCAAATCAAGATGCCGGAGCCATGTAATGAGTAGTCGGGAGGGAAAGGATCGTCCACATAATTTGAAAGCAACAGAAAGCAGAAAAACTACAGTAACTAGGGCGAATAGTACTCATATAATACTAAATTTACTACTAATAGAAAAGTCAAATAGCACAATTAAGTCATTGGGTAGAGTACAAAAATTATCTAACTTTCTAACTCTGTCTCTTTGACTACCAATAATTCTCAATGAACAACTCAAAGGTGCAGTTAAACAGCAGAGGCCACAATCAAAGCTAATGCATTCATCAAACCAGAGTTACAGTCTGCAATCAACGCAATCACCAGAGCACATAAAGCATCTGCGCCCAACAAACATCATAACCTGAATCAGAAACCCATTTAACTAAATTCATCACTACACTCAATCATCAAGAAAAGGTCATGCTAAGCGATAGCAAACAATTCAAACATTATGTTAAAACAATCTTTTGCCCTACAAGAAAACTACTAATAATAAGATAAATATTTCAAAGGGAAATACAGCAAATTTAGTCAAAACCCTGAAATTATAAAGCATTTTTTTAACAATAAAAAATTATAAAGGCGTGATAGCATTGATATTGTATAGTGGACCAATACGCATGTTTACAGATGAAATACCCAAAATCCGACACAATTTTAGAGTACAACAATTACAAAGAAGAAGGGTAAACCAAAATATTTCCTACAAGTACACTCGATAAGTTGACAAAGGTAATCCAAGATACATCTTACATCAACAAAAAAAGTTACAAGAGAACCAAGTCACAGACCAAGAGCTTAAGAGAATAGGACACTTATTGTAACAGCTGGGATTTTTTTATAAAAAAAATCTAATAATATCTATTAAGCCAACTCCATACTGCATCATCGACTTTGGTGATTGCATTGTTGGCTTTGGTTCCCAAATCCAACTGTAGAATTGGCTTCCACACACTAATTGTTCGTGTCCTCAATTTTGTTCACAATCCCTACAATTTTTGTTTACTTATCGCACTGCCACTTCTGGGTTTTACTACTTTTGCCCAAACATCCACAACATTTACCATCGTCGCCCGTGGTAGCAAATAAGGATTGACAACAATAAATGCTTTTTTTTATTTCTTTTCGTGGTTATCAATCAATTTTGTTACCCCACCATCGAGTTTTTCTTCATTGTTGCTCTACATCGTCTCACATGCAAGTGTCTTTCGAAGTGGTGGTCATTACCACCATCGCTACAGTAGAGAAGAGGGTGAGTGGCCATGCTAGATTTGCTCAAAGAGAGCGTTGGTTCAAGATGCTACCAAACTTCAATTTGATTTGGTTTTCACCTGTCTAACTATTTTCCTTTGGTTCAATCGCTTCTTCAATCCAAGTTACAGTTTTCTCTTTCACTCAGTTTGATGATTTTACATCAGTTCTTTTCTGGTTTAGGGCCACTATTGGTCATTTTGAATGAGATTCGTGTGTTAGGGCTCAATATTTGTATGCATCGAACATTGGGGATAAGTTTTAGTCTCTTGTGTTGGCAGTTACTTGATCTTTGGGGACGAGAAGCCAATCTTCAAATAAGAACTATCTTCGTTAAATATTCTAAGCCCTCGATTGTAGTTTGTGATGTTACAATAGTATTTGTTCTCTAGGTTTCAGGGTCAAAATTAAAATTTTGTTGTAGGATTGGACTAAACTTTGTGCAAGTCATGGGAAAATTTGTGTTGCTGCTAGGAAACATTTGGAGTGATTTTCTAATTGGATAACATTTTTGTTTAAGATGCTAGGTATGCATGCATTATTTGTTCTGTGATTGTTGTGTTGATTGTGCATACATGGAAATGATGTTTTGAAACATCTATAAGTTCTTGCATGTGTTGATCAATATAAGATGAGTGATATAACTTCTTGCATTTGCTCACTTGTATGCATGGGACTTGTTCCACGAAGGTCAAAGGATTTTATTCATAAGCTTACAGGCTATTCAGTCTTTGTTTATGGAAATTGAACATCAACTAACAGTTTAGATAATTAGGCTTCTCTATGAAAATTGTAAGGACAATTGCTCATTTGTGTCTATGGAAATTGGTCAAATTTTGAATAGTTTTAAATTCCCTCATCTTATGAATTCATAAACCTATTTATTTCAACAACTTCTCTCAGAAAATGAAACCAACACTAAGAAAATCTGACATTTCTAGGCCACATAATATGAGCCGTGGGAGGTGATGAACTGTTGTCCAAACAAAAAAAAAAAGGAAGGGGATAAACTGCAGAACAATTGCAACGTTCACGATAAGAGGCAGGTATTATGTACGAGAAAAATATATACATAACAGATAATAGAAGATGAGAATGTCTTCATTCCCCAAAGCTAAATGGTAAGGTAAAAGAAGAGAGGCTGAACGGGCAAGGACAAGTAGGAGAGCAAGTTTAATTTCCATCAGGAGCAAATGAAGAAAGCATAACTTCCTCCTACCATTTTCCATATCCTCTTGGTTAAATGTCCAGAAACATAAGTGATAATTTATAAACAAACAAACCACTATACATATATTAAACTCAGCTCACAGGCACTAGCATTCAGTCGGGATCACTGTCTGAGATCAATAAGATTAAGTGATTCTTAAAACCAACACTCTCTTCCTCTGTTAGTAAATGTAAATGGAGAAAAATGCTCTACGAAACTACAAAGTTCCACATCTAAGCAATTTTGAGAACAGAAAATCCAGACATAATCAACTTTAGCAGTGAATAAAGATATACAACAAAAAATTACAATCAGAACATTAATACCAACTTCCCAAACGAACGTAATATGAATTAACAAGGGATAATTAGATGTGTATACGTGCGGCAAGCAGAAGAAGCACAATGAAGCAATGTGTGGGAAATATGCCAGCTAAAACTCAAACTTTCTAGGACTGAATCGCATTCACATATAAGTTTCAGGTTACAACAACATAATTCATAAACAAGTGTAACTGCATGAAGATGGAATCCAACACAAATAATGATACACGAACATAAATACTTTCACAAGCACAAAATGTCCAGAATAAGGTGAAAATGAAACGCCTAAAAAGAAAACACAAAAAACATAAATTTGCAGGTAAAATATGCGTGCACGGTAAGCCCGAATGCTGAAAGCAATAAAATTAGTAACGGAAGATCACACTGGAATTAAACACCGTCACTCAAGAGGGGGAAAAGCAAAGTAATAAGGATAACCAGAACACGGTATGGGGTATGGTTTGAATAATATACCCTCACACTTCATGCAGTAATTTACAGTATGAATAAAAACGAGAATACCTCAGTAATAAGGTGGCACACTGGGATACATTCCTCCAGGCGGAACACGTGGCGCCGGCGATGTTACCGCCTGTTGATGGAGCGGATTTGGGTGCCCAGATGCTGATGACATGCTATAATGCCCACTATCCGGATAACCACCAGAAGGCATTCCCACCGAACTCTGTGGCAACCTATACAGAGATGATGGCCCCACGGTTCCGCCCAATCCACCAGCAGAACCACCCAAACCACCACCTACACTACCCATACCACCATAAATTGCGGACCCGGGACCGCCGTACCCACCACCATATGGACCGCCGCCATATCCGCCAGAGCTTCCCAACGAAGATGGAGCCTGACCACCGACAGAAGATAGACCCGGCCCCATTGAGGAGTTTAGCGGATGATGACCCAGAGGCTGTCCCCCTTGAACGCCACTAGAAAAGCCTCCATACGACCCCATGCCTCCCGGCCCACCATATTGTCCGCCTGAACCAGGCATTGCCGAAGGAGGAGCCATAGGCATTCCATCTCCATGCAAATTCCCTTGACCGGCCCCCGGCGTTTGAATTCCATCCTGCCCACCACCAGGTTTCCCTTTCTTCCCATCGTTAGCGAATTTACAACTCAACTGCCTTCCATCAATCGTCTTGATTGGATCCACCAGAGCTGCCTGTGCCCCTTCTGGCTTCTTGTACACAAATAAAGCATAACCTCTGCACTTACCCGTCTGCTTATCAAATCCTAGCGGTCCCTCCTCAATTTCTCCATACAGCGAAAAGTGTGCCAACAGTTTATCGGCCGGCATATCCATCGGAACATTCGCCACATAAATTTTCCTCAACGACATGTCTGCAGCGTTCGAATTCTGCCCGGAAATTCCCACTGCAGCCAATTGCGTTACTGTAACACGGCCATCAATCGTCTTGCTCGGTTCCTTCAAAGCCAGTATAGCCCCATCAACATGCTTGAAAGTCACAAAGCCATACCCTTTTGATTTCCCGGTCGCCTTGTCAATGATAACAACCGCTTCTTCAAGCTCCCCATACGCGGAAAAGAGAGAGCGCAAACCTTCTGTACTTGTATCGCAACTAAGACCCCGAATAAACAGCTTCCGCTGGGAGACGTCTCGGTCGGCAATAGATCGAACCGCATCAAGGACATCCGTGTGACGCGAAACAGCATCTTGGAGAATATCGATAAGCTGGTCCGGAGTGAAACGATCAATGATCTTACGAGCATCATCGGAGGTAATTTTTAAGAAAGAATTTTCGGAGGAGTCGACGCCATTTTCTTCCATCCTCCGCTTCTTGGTGGCGTCCATGGCGGAGATGAGACGAAGAAGGAGGTCCCTGGAAGTGTAGAGTGGAAGTAGAAGAAGAAGAACAAGAAGGTGAAGCTAAACCCTAATCCGAGTATAGGAACGATGACCAAGACGAAGAGGATTGAAACGAATGGCGGGCAGTTGTTCTATAATGGTTTAATTGGGCTGGGCCCATAGAAAATGTCGGTGTCGTGCTTTTTTGGGCTCGTGGGCTTCTAAGAAAGCCCAATTAAGCCCTGATAAATTCTATATGTTTCGGCAGTCGATTCTATAATGGTTTAATTGGGCTAGGCCCATGGCCAATGTCGGTGTCGGAGTTTTCTGGGCTCTTGGGCTTCTCTGAAAGCCCAATCAAGCCTTTTTCATTAAAATTTTTGATAAATTCTATATTTATTCGGCAGTCGATTCTATAATGATTTGGGCTAGGCCCATAGCCAATAACGGCGTCATGGTTTTCTAGGCTTTTTGGGCTTCTCTGAAAGCCCAATCAAGCCCTTTTTCGTTTAAATTTTGATAAATTCTATTTTTTTGGCAGTCGATTCTATAATGGTTTAATTGGGCTGGGCCCATGGCCAATGTCGGTGTCGGAGATTGCTGGGCTCAGGGCTTCTATGAAAGCCCAATAAAGCCGATGTCGGTGTCGGAACTTTTCTGGGCTCGTGGGCTTCTAGAAAGCCCAATCAAGCCCTTTCTCATTTAATTTTTGATAAATTCTAAACTTTTTTGGCAGTCGATTCTATAATGGTTTAATTGGGCTAGGCCGATGGCCAATGTCGGTGTCAGAGTTTTCTGGGCTCGTGGGCTTTTATGAAAGCCCAATAAAGCCCTTTTTCATTTAATTTTTTTTATCAATTCTATATTTTGAGCCGTCGATTCTATCATGGTTAATTGGGCTGGGCCCATGGCCAATGTCGGTGTCGGAACTTTTATGGGCTCATAGGAAAGCCCAATCAAGCTCTTTTTCACTCGCCGAAATAAATATAATTTATAAACTCTAGATTAAGAAAGGCCTTGAAAAAAAATTATAAATTTGAGTTTTTAAAAATTTATTGGGAAAAAGAGCGGCGGGCATTTGGTCTGAAGCAAGTATGGTTTATACAAATTCTACCACCAGCCACAGTGGTTTCAGTGCCATTAGCGTAATTGGATTTTGCATTTTATGGGCATTGGGCTGTTGGGTCCTTCGGGTTTTTCTTCTGCGAATCCCTCTCGGACACTGACTCTCCGTCATCGGTTTCTTCATCCGTCTCCACCGTATTGATTACCATTTCACTCGAATGCCATACATTCACATGTAAGTTCTTCTCCATTCTCTTACATTTTCAAGCTCGCTGGAAATTTCTTTGTGTAGGTTTAGCGAAATTTTGTATCGTTTCTCTGTTTTCCCTTGTGAATCTGTAAGTCTCGACCAGATTAACATCTCTGAATTAGATTGCAAGGAAGTGGTCATATTCCTTCATTTTTTAAAATTATTTTGTGTGCATTCGTCAGTATTGTGAAGGCTGGGTGAAGTTGAAGGGCAATGTGAATCAATAGACTCTCCTGCATTTTAGAACCTTATTTATCTTCTTCGGTTGATACTAATGTACTTTAAGTATTAGGATAATTTGCAGTTCGGAGGGAAACAAAACTCTAAAAAGTACTAGGATCAAATTGAAACTAAAATTGAGAAGAGTGTTGTTTAATCTTTTATTCATTATTTTTCCTAGATTACTACATACATTAAGATTAATTAGTCTGAAAGAAGTGAAGGTTTATGAATCTAAAATTGAGAATGCTGTTCTTCTTTTAAGAATTGAAAGGAAAAACATAGATGTTACAACTTTCTTTTATAAGACATACTTATCTTATTGCATTTCTGAATGTATAACAGGAAATTATTAGGTGCAACAGTATCTGTTAATCTTGCTCCAAATTCTGCTATCTGGAAGACTTTCTATTACCCAGTTGCCAACGTCAATCTTCCATCAAATGTGATGCCAATGAATCAGCAGATATCTATATGCAGGAATGATTCATTATCTTCTCCTTTCAATGTCTTCAACAGAACAAATTCTTCCCAGTCCTTGCTGTTCATTGTTGCTGAGGGTAGAATTTCCAACTCTGGTGAGTGCTACAAGTCTAAATGTTCCTCGGGTTCCTTTGAGAAGCAGGTTTCGAGCAGAAATATCGGCGATGACGATTGCCCAGAAAATTGTGAAACTGAAAATGACAAGGAGTGGCAAAGACGAAGAAAAATAGGAGTGGCAAATAAGGGCAAAGTACCATGGAACAAGGGCAAGAAACACAGCTTGGGTAAGAACATTTAGTAGGTCCTCTAGCAGTGGTGAATTTTAAGTGGCTAAGGTTATACTTGGTGGAGTTTGGGATTTTAACATATAATTTATCTGCAGAAACTCGTAAGCGAATCAAGCAGAGAACAATTGAAGCCTTGAAAAACCCCAAGGTGAGGTTCACATTTCAGGCTGATTCACCAGTCATATTCTGTAATTTCAACCTTTTCATTTTTCTTTAATATTTCAGGTGAGGAGGAAGATGTCCGAATATCCCCGCCCCACTCATAGGTTTCACTCTTAACCCTTCACTCTTTTATTTCTGAATGCCAAAATGAACTTGAATAATAGAAGATTTAACACGGAAGATGTCCGAATATCCCCGCCCCACTCATAGGTTTCACTCTTAATCCTTCACTCTTTTATTTCTGAATGCCAAAATGAACTTGAATAATAGAAGATTTAACATCAGATGCTTTCAGATTTTGTTGGCTATTTTAGTGAAAAGCAAAGATCTCTTGTAGCATTGTCACTTTATAGAGTTAATATGAAGTTTTATATAAGAATGAATTGTAAACCTTACAATCTACTTTCAAGATCTCTTATAAAAGGGGAAAAATAGGAAAATCCTGATTTTGGATCTGGCACTGAAATCATGAACAGGCTGTGGGCGAAAATGCTTAACTCTTATAGTACTAGAATTGATGCCATTGGCTCCCAAATTTCAACATTTAGCACTTGACCATGTGGAATTAATAATCTCGCTTATGTTCAACATTCCTCAGAATTTTACTGTCTATTTCAGTTCTGGAAGCAAGTTCTTTGTCAGGAAAACTTATTATTTTGAGGGAATTTCCTCGTTATCAAGTGGAATTGTTCAGCTTGACGAGGCAAATCTCGTCGTTTATTAGGTATAAACATGCTATAAGATACAGTCGTGCTTATTCTATTTGCAGTGATCAGGTCAAAACTAAAATTAGCTCCTCACTCAGACGTGTATGGGGAAAGAGATTATTGAAGAAGAGATTAAACGAGGCATTCTTCCGGTCTTGGAAGGAAAGCATAGCTGTTGCTGCGAAGAAAGGAGGGAAGGAAGAACAAGAACTTGACTGGGACAGCCATGACAAGATAATACAAGAAATGCTTCATCAAAAGCTTAAAATGGTTGAAGAGAAGGAAAAATTAAAGCTGATGAGAGCAGAGAATGCGAAAAAGAGGAAAATCCAAGGAAGGGGTGCCAAAATAAAGAAAAGGAAAATGTGTTCTAGAAGAAGAAATGGAGGAAAAAGAAAGATGAAAGAGGTAGAAGACATCCAGAGAACGTTGAAGGAGCTAACTGCAATTGAAAGATCGAGACTTAAGCAAAGATTGAAGAAGGTAAAGATCAGGGAGGTCCTGTAGATTTACTTAATAGTTTGACTGATCCACTAAATGGATCAAAATGATAGCATGCAATGGAACTGATCTATAACAAAGGCCAACCTACCATAGCTATTTGGAGATGTAAATTTCTAGGCCAGCCTTCATTTTAATCTGTCAGCCCTATGATAATGATGTTCTTATTATGTTTTCATGTCTTCTATTAAGGTTATCCTCTTTCACTTACCTTTTGATTAGATTCGCAAAAAGATTGCAATAAACAGTGTAGTTGCTGCTCAAGGAAGCGTTGCATCAGTGGTGCCCCGAGGCACAACCTGGGAAAAACTGGATCTAGATCTTATAAAGAAGGGTAAACTGAGGGAAGGAGTGTCGCTGGCAGATCAAATTCAATTTGCCAAGATCAGAAAAGCAGAATCTATAGCTTGCAAAATTCTTGTAGCCTCTACTTTGTCGTACGGATGCGCCGGGGAGCGTAAAGATAACTTTTGACTGACCTTCACTGCTTGCAAGAAGAAAATTTTCTGGTGTCTGAAGGTGACTTTTCCTCCCATCCAAGGTGATTTTCATCACACACACACACACATTTATATCCATTGGAGTTGCAGAATCTTCTTCAATTCGTCACGGAGTAAAAAGGCTGCTACAGCTCACGAGCTTTTGATGACTTGAAGAAAGGTAGTTAGAAGAAGTTAAAAGTTTTACTTTGCAGGATGGATTCTGATAAGCGATCGAGCAAGAGCTTCACGTCCATGGCAGCAGATAGATGGCTTGCCTATTGCTCTGCCTGCTTCATAATTGTGTGCGGGTATGTAAAGATACTAAGTTCCTTGATGCAATTCTGAATTCAAATTTTTCCTCTAATTTTCTTCTTTAGGAATTGATAAAATATCTCAAAGTTCAGTGGAAAAATAATTCGAATTGTGATTCAACTAGAAAAGTTCAGAGAGCTATTGCCATTGCCATACCAGTAAATGAGCGACAATACAGGAGCGTTGAGGGGGGCATTGTTGCAAGAAAATGTGGCCAAATGAGATTGCCCAAAAACAAAGATGACATTATGAATGTTATTACATCATCTCATGCATCTTTGAAACTATACAACTATCCACAAAGCAAAACTAAACTCATGGTTTGCCGCAGTAGTACCTGAACAAATACTCAGTGGCTAGAAGGATTTGAGGTTTGAACCACGCAACAAGTAAAAATCTTAAAAAAAACTAAAGAATTCTGCTACTTTGAGACTTTGCTGAACAGTTGATGACTATTCTCGTTGATTGTTATGCACATTACTAGACCACCCACCAGCATTAGGCTGCATCTCTCTATAGCTGTTTTGAGCAGGTGGCCCACCCGTGTTTGAAGCTCCACCATAGTAGTTGGACGGTGGTGCTCCCCAATGGTTGTTTGGCTGTGGCTCTCCAGAGTTGTATGGTGGTGGTGGTGGTGCCCCGGAGTTGTATGGTGGCGGTGGTGCATAGTTGTGCGGTGGTGGTACCCTAAAGTTGTTCTGCGGTGGTGGTGGTGGTGGTCCGCTAAAGTTGTTCTGTGGTGGTGGAGGTGGTCTGCTAAAGTCATTCGGTGGTGGTGGTGGTGGTGGTCCACTAAAGTTGTTGGGTCGTGGCGGTGGTGGTCCGCTAAAGTTGCTTGGTGGTGGTGGTCGGTTAAAGGTGTTTGGTGGTGGTGGCGGCGGTGGTCTGCTGTAGTTGCCTTGGGGCATTCCATCATGATTGCGAGGTGGCATATTACTTGGAGCTGGTCCTGAAGTAGCTGAAGCATTTGGGAATTCTCTGTTGCGGGTATGTTCCCTCCTATTGAAATTTCTTGACCCGTCTGAATTACGCCTATTCCTTTCATTTGCTCTAGCATTGTTTCTTACCCATTCCTCATGGTACTTCGGGTCATATGGNACAGCCTGACCATTTATAAAAGGCTCCCCTGCCAAAAATGAAGAACATCAGATAATAGTTTTAGCTTTATGAATTCGCAAGAAATAAGAGCTTTCCAATTTTGTTCGTCTGGTGTACGGAATAAACACATTAGGATTAGAGTTTCCATTCAAATGCTCCTTTTGCTAACAGTCCAGGAGCAAGCACTTTAAACATCTTTAAACATCTATCACTAACAAATATTGACCGCTTTTTCTTTTGAACCTTCACTCAAAGTTTGAATTTTTAAGATATTGTCCTCTTTGGACTTTTTCTTTCCAATTTTGAACTTTCAAGTTTGAGTTTTTAAACACGGCTAGAGAGAGGTTTACACATCCTTGTAAAAATTACTTCGTTCACATCCTTGTAAAAATTACTTTGTTCTCCTCTCCAACCAATCCAACTAATGTGGGATCTCACAATCCACCCCCTTTGAGACTTGACGTCCTTGTTGACCCTCGTTCCCTTTTCTCCAATTAATGTGGGATCTCACAATCCATCCCCCTTCGGAGCCGAGCATCCTCGTTGAACACTGCCCAATGTCTACCACCTTTGGGGCTCAGTGTTCTCACTAGCACATAATTCGATATCTAGTTTTGATACCATTTGTAACAGACTAAACTCACTGCTAGTATGGGCTTTCCCTCAAAGTTTTTAAAACGGGTTTCCATACCCTTATAAACAATACTTCGTTCCCCTCCCAACCGATGTGGGATCTCACACCACTTCTATAATTCCCCCAATCGTTGTGGGATCTCACACCACCTCTTTCAAATTGCATATTGTACAACTAATTCTCGGAAAATAAATGTATACGAAAAAGTCATTGTTCAAATGCTAATCTTCTCAACTTAATACGAAAAGGAATTACCTCCATAATCTTTATTCTTAACATCCAAGTATGAATCAGGAAGGACCCAACGAACCTTAGGTAGCTCTGAGAAGGAAAAGGCACAAACTTAGTACAATCAACACAAAAGAAAGAAATAACAAACAAAAGAAAACAAGGCACAAACAAAGGTGTATAATACCTTTAATCTTGTAAGAAAGTTCTTCAGAAACAAGGCACCCAAATGCATAGTAGCACCTTGTTGAAACAGAGTATATCTTCATCCTAGCTTCTTCCTCACTGTATCAATAAGAAACACCAAATAGCGAAACGTTGAATATTTTTTTCAGATGAGTCCGATGATGAAATGTTGCCGTAGAAGACAAACAAAAGAATTCACCACTTTGTTCTAAACATACAAGTCTAATCACTAAAATTCCAAGAGAAACAAAATTAAATGCAATCATCAGGGTAACCCAACAGATTCAATACAATCGATCAAAATGAAACTTGACCTTCCGACAACCATGGCAAGTGTTTTGATAAAGCTATCGATAATTTCATCCCTCGTGGGATCGCCCTCTGGCTTCTCCATAACAATGAGCCAGTGCTCAAAATCACAGCCATCAAGTAATATGGTCTCCTTTGGTGGGCGATTAGACCAGTTCAGATTCGGATCTTTGAGAGAGGATGAAGTGGTACTGGTGGCGAACTCCCTCGCGCTCGCCGCTGGAGAGAGGCCGCGGAAATCAGCGACAACTATAGCAGCGAGGGGACGAAGGCGACGGAGAAGGGAGGTAGAGGAGTGTGAAGAGGAGGATAAGGCCGTTCCAGTGGCAGTGAGAAATGAACGAGAGAATATGGAAGCCGAAATCAGGGTTTTAGGTAGCGTGCGGTAGAAGAGCCGAGTCGCCATTGGAGAGGGCTGAGACAAAGACAAGGGTTTATCTGGGGCTTAGTCCTCTTTTAAAAGGAAAGCTTATAACTAAAAAAAATAAAAATAAAAAAAGAACCTTTGAAGGAAAAAATTGATTAGCCTTGCAAAAGTTGGTAAATTATTTTAGCATTTCATATTATTACTTTTTATTACTAAAATATTTAATAAAATATAATATTTAAATTGGTTTAAAATCGCCTAAATTGTGAGTTTAATTTCCAAATAATGTTGGATATTTTGTTAAATAATTTTGGTAAAAACTAAAATAGAATTTAACCCAATAATAACAAATTCCTCATTTTTCCATACAACTTGAAAAATAAATATTGTTTCTGTTTTTTGGTAAAAGTTTAGTTGTTTTTGCAAATCTATCAACATGATAATAACATGAAAACACAAGGTATGAATTTCCTTTCATGCCAACAGGATCAAAGATTAAAGAATTGTCAATATACACCTCGAGTACCCGATGACATGCCGTGTGATACGAATCTTCTTGAACAAGAAATGTAGCAACAATGTATTTTCTCAATGAAATTTCATGACTAAGAACTCCTAAAACAGGACTGCACAGTTACAAACAGGGTGGAAAAAGTGTTGAAGAAGAATATATGTATACTCATGATAGAACAAACGTATATATGTGCCTCCTTTTAGTTAGAAGGCTCACCACCAAAAAAATAATTTCCAACTCAGTTACTACGATCAAATATCGAATTGAAGGTTATGGTACCGTACGAGGTGTCCATGAACCCTGACGATGAAGTTGATTCACTTTGCTTTCCCAAGTCTTCAGTCGTCGATGTAAGCTTCGAATTGGGCTCGGCTTTCTTGCCTAGTACATCTTTTCGAAGCATGAATTCTGAAAGCATTCCAGGTTTAGATATTGTTTGATCAGTTATATCAATGTCGCCAGTTAGCATCTTGACAACGGTCGACATGGATGGCCGGAGATTTGGCATATCTTGAGTGCAGAGAAGACCAACTTTTAAATATCTGCAAGCCTCTTCAGCCTCAAAGTCTCCATGTAATGATATGTCTACCAATTCCAGCAACTGCCCTGTCTCATGATGCTTCCACACCTGTAGCATTTACATCTCTTTGTTAGAATTACCAAATCATCAAGGAAACTTTACAGTTTATCACAAAAGGATGCAGGTCCTATCCAAATGGATGCTTCATATTTCCCCTAATCTCCAACAGACACCTTAAGGAATTTGAATTGAAAACCAAATCAAGTCATGCATACAGAGAAAATATTTAAAGTATCAATTTCATCCTTACATACTTACAAATCATTAATCATTTCACATATAAAATGAATTACATTCATTTGGAAGACAGAAGACAAAGTGATATTAGAGCAAATCTCCAACTAACTTCACTTACTCTTCCTTAACCTTAATATGAAGTTAACGATCTTTTTCAAGATTTCATTAACTCACATCTTCACATTGCATAGTATATCATGTGTAAAAGAATCTGATGTGACGTCGTGTATGCACAAGCAGAAGCTTGAAGCAATAAAAATAAACAAAAGGAAACACAGACCTTGAGGCCTGAGGGAAGAGAACTAGAAGCAGAAGTCTGACTACTGAAAAATGAATGGGCACCTATCAATCTTGCTAAAAACATTCAAAGTTATGCAATATACAATAGGCATGATCCTGGAACTCATGGTATAATAGCAATGTCGATGATAACTTAGAACTTTCTAGAAATTCAGTTCAAAATGTAATGCAAAGCTTTTGTAGTATGTTTCAGTTATAATTTCATTATTGTCTTGAATGTAGTCTTAGTTTAATATTACATCCGATGCCAGAAAAAGGACATGTTGAACTTAAATTTTGAATAAATATTGGACGACATGTCAGAAACTATAATGCAGCACTCAAAAGCAAAGCTAAATACTGTACTCAAAAGTTTTGGATTCTTAGGGCGGTTAGAAAAACATTAATATGTCCATCTTAAAAAAACATGGTAGGAATCTAGAAGTTAAACAAACCATAGTATAACATCAATACAGTCCAGTTGACTATAGGTTTTGATGCTCGTCCTAGCTAATTTAGTGCACATGTTTATAAAATAATTTTGTTATCAATTACAAGGAATGCCTAGTTATGAAGTCTTTCATTTCAGTTGCAAAGTCAACAAATAATCCCAACTACATCCCATCCCCCACCTTTTATTTTCTGTCATTTAAAACAGCAACTAATGCATACCATTTCTAGAAGATATGGTTCCTCAGCAGGCAACCGTTTGTTTATGTTGTACCTCCCACATACAATCTCCAAGAGTAAGACACCAAAACTATAAATATCTGTTCTTCTTGTCGCTTGCCCCCGGAT